TATTGACTAACCTACAATATTCCCTTTTTTTTACCTTTTGTTTAGAGCTATGTAAAGACACATTCTCTGGTAAATATCCACATAATACCTTCCATACAAATGGTCTTTGTTTTTCAGGAATTCCATTTTCTGCTCTTTGTTTAAGTTCATTAATATCAAGTAAAGGAGTTTCTGCGATATATTGTTCAAGACTTTTTCCTGTTTTGTTCATAAGAAGAATAAACAAATAATGTTTTTAGAGTGATTTAAAGTCAGAAAATATATTTTTTATTTTAATAAAAATTTATTATTCATACAAGTATTAATATTTTAATTAAGTAAAATTATAATAAACTATTAAATTACTAGAAAAAAACTATTTACTCAATAATTATTTCAATAATTAATATGTCATCAATATTCCCTCGTTCATAAACATTGTAATAAAAACAATAGTATTTGGGTTTACTTCTTTTTATTCTAACAGGGATAATAATAGGTTCATTAGGAAAAGTAATAAAAATATTACTAAGAAAGTCTTTACGAATTCCAAGGATATAAGGATAATACCTTCCTTTAAATGATTTAGAAATTGACAATGTTTTTGTTATTACTAATACTCCTCTCTTTTCTAATAATGTTTTTTCTACATTAAAAATATAATCATCTGTAATAATATCTTTATAACTAAAAATGTTACTTTTTACATTTATAACATCTTTTTCTTTATAGGTACATTTTGTCATTATGTTATAATCACGTTCTACTGATGAATGGCTATGACTTAAATCTTTAACAAAATAATACTTTCTTAAATGTTTATTTCTATCACCTTCTTTTATTTGTCCATTAAATTCAAAACAAATTAATCCATTATGTTCTGCCATAAATTGATATCTTGACGGGTCAGTGATAATTTTCTTTTCTTCTGGTGAAATTATTTCTTTGAGTGGTTGTTTTTTTTCCTTATTTACTTCATGTTGGATAATTGGTTTCTTTTCTTCTCTTTTTATTTCGTTTGGTTTGTCTTCCTGTTTTAAATCTTCAAGACTTATTTTATTTGGGTCATAAATTAATTCTTCTTCTTGTGACTGAATAATGTTAATTCTTTTTAGTTCTTCATTTTTTAGTGATTCAGCTTTGGATTTTTTGAAAAAATCATTGACTTCTTGAAGTAATTTGTTGGTATCTTTTTTAATAGTAGAAACATCAGTATAGTCTTCTTTCTTTCCTATCTCTTTTTTAATAGAATTCTCTTGAGGTTCTATAAGAGGTTTTTTTGGACTTTTTATAGAAGGGCAAGACTCGTCTTTCTCATTTGGTACAGTGTTTTCATTATAGATTTCTTCATTAATGTAATTGCTATTACTGAACGAAATAACTGGAAGTGGTGGGGACACACATGGAGTATCATCGTCTAAATTAATATTAAGGTCATGTGGAGATTGAACTTGATTGTGAATAGAAGGTTCATTCTTTTCATCTGTAGTGTCCAGAAGAATTGACTCATCTAAAACTGACATGAAGAAGACAGTTGCCATTGAATCTTTTAAAATAGTAAGAAAGTCAAATACAGAGCGTATTAATAGTAAATTGAATTCGATAAGATAGTTTTTATCGCATGAAGTTGATTGAAGAACATCAATATATTGCTTTGTAAATACTTTTAAGCTATTAAATAATGAAAGAGAATTAATTGATTCAATTCCATAAAGTATTGTGTTAGTATCGAATTGTTGTTGTTGTTGTGTAAGAATAATTGGCAGAGAAAAAGCAAGTTGAGAGATAAATTGGAAATATTTTGTTTGGATTTGAGAATTTACTAATTTCATTTGAGTCAAAATATCAGCAAACATTAGCAATGGAATTTTTATGTTATTAATAAAATCAAAACCACATTTTCTCAGTAATTTGATGAACTCAATCTTTTTGTTTTCAAGTTCAGTTGAGTTCATTTAAGAGAGATTTTTTAATTGATTAAAGATTTCATTTTAAGAGAAAAAAAAAGAAAAACAAAAAGAGAACTTCAAATAAAAACATAATTAAGAATTTAAATTAAAATGGCATGTAAAAGCAGTAAAATATCAAAATACATTAATTATACAATTAAAGTTACTACCATTGAAGGAAGAAATTTTGTTGGTAAGTTTTTAGCATTTGATAAATATATGAATATGATTTTGTCTGAAACTATTGAAAAAAGAACAGTTATGAATAAAAAAACACGCGAAGAAAAAGAGATTGAAAGGTCTTTAGGACTGATGTTATTACGAGGTGATTGTATTCAAGGATATACTGTTTTATCACCACCACCTGTTTGTTAAATATTATTTTTGAAATAATAATAATAAAATTATGTACGTATTTCTTATTCATTTTAGAAAAGAAAACAACAAAACTTTGTTCCAAATGTTGTAAATACTTCAGTTATTACTGCTGGTCCACAAGCAAATCCATGTTTGTTCATTTATTTTTATTAAGTTTAATATCAATATATCCATTGATTAGCTTTAGTTGCACCAACTAGAGGTGTTGGAATTCCTCAACCAATGATGGGAGGTATTCCTATTCCTTCATTGTACCCTCAAATGGGGGTTGTTCCTCCAGGACAAATTCCTGTTCCTGGAGTTATTCCAGGTGTTCCACCAATGATTCCAGGAGCAATTCCACCTGGAATTCCAATGTATCCACCAATGGGAATGATACCACCGATGGGTCCTCCACCTCAAATGAATCCAATGATGCCACAACCTCAACCAAATGGAACAAATCCAACAGATTCAGCTGATAATTGATTGATTTTTTTTCTTTTAAAGAAACAATAAAATTTACTTTCAAAAAATAAATTTATTTTAAATTTAATTCATTTTCAATTTCATCTAATTTATCTTTCTCTTCTAATTGAATAGATGAAATAGTCGAACAAATTTCTTGTACGTGTGACGGTTCCATATTCTTTTTCTTTTTATAAAGACGCGTTAATAATTTAGCTTTTCTTTGGCATAAATCATTAACCAGTCCATTATTTTTTTCATAATACTCTTTAAACATAGTACATGAGAGTCCTTTTTCTTCATCAGGTTTTATAACATCTTCTCTTTCAACTTTAAATATTTTCAAATGAATATTTTCATTTCCATCACCAACAACATTATATTTTTGAAGAGCTTGAATTAGCATTTCTTCTTGACGTTTCTTAGTAATAGTTTTGTCTTCTTCTGATTTAACAGTATACCGTTGTTCAACTAAATGATTTGGAAAATAGTAGGTCGATGATATGGTTGTATCTCCTGTATCCATTCTCAATACAAATTTTTTTTCATTAAGTGAACCTGTCGTTATACGAGAAGAATTATCAATAACTTGAATTGGTCTTGAATTTTTAATAAGTTGACTTGCTAATAAACAAGCACCATGTGCTGAAGAAAAAGAAAGGTCAAGAGATGTTGATATCTCAATAACTTTAGAAATTGAGTCTTTAACGCAACACAATAACCATCCTTTTCCTACAACATCAATAAATGGTAAGGAAAAATCTCTTATTTGAGAAGGATTAAAATACTGACTTTGGGGGTGAAGCTGAAAAGGGGAAATAGCTTCTTTAAT